ACCAAGCAGTTCACCACCAGGGAGCACTACCAGGCAGTTCGCCACCAGGCAGTTCGCCCCCAGGCAGTTCGCCACCAGGTAGCTCGCCACCAGGCAGTTCGCCACCAGGGAGCACTACCAGGCAGTTCGCCACCAGGCAGCTCGCCACCGGGCAGTTCGTCACCAAGTAGTTCTCTCCCAGGGAGATCGCCACCAAGTAGCTCATCACCAAGGCACGTCACCACCGGGTCAAACAACGAGGTACTTAGCCAAAAAATTTATACATCACAAAAAATGGTACGTGACCAAAAACGGTTACATCAGACACAAAAGTTCACATCTGTGCTCCAAAAACGTACCAAAGCACATTCCAACCGTGTATTGGGAACATTTGCCAATGATAAGTACGAGAGATGTTTTCAATGCATGTGGGGCGTGGCCTGTAGGGCGCAGATCTGAACTCCAAATACCAACCGAGTGGTGGCTCTGTTGGCACATAACTGGGAAAGCCCCAGGCGCGATGCGGTTTTGAACCCTACTACTAACGGCTCCAAATCCATCTTTGTGAAAAGTATAATCGTTCTAGATAAAAAGTTGTGGTACCATGCCACAGTAATTGTCGAGTATTTGCCCTCAGCGCATGTGGAGCTTCACCCTAAACGAAGATATTTTCCCACTCTCGCTCATGCTCTCAGTCTCTCGACTACCCCATGCAAAGCTACAATTGATGCGAAGTTTCACCCTGTCGGATGAAAACTAGCACCAACGACCATTCCGTCAGATATAGGAGGTACTCCCCGTCCCTCTGAGGGTTTGATGCATGTTTAGACGATAGGGAGAGAGAGTTGATGACTGTTCCAGCAAACACATGGGAGAAATCTGCACCAACAACCGCTCATACTCTATGTCTTGATGTCATCTTATTCTGAGGGATGTCGCTCTCCGACGCCTAGGATTGAAATTTGAGGTGTAAGTAGTGGATTCCTTTCACCGCCCAAGCACCAATCATCAAAACCTCTCAAACAATTCAAGCAAAACCCAAACTAATGATCCAATTACCCCTTTTGGGTTCCTTTGAGTCGATCCAAAAAATTGAAACTTTGGGACGAGAAGAAGACAATAGCTATACAACCCCAACACAGAGGGAGAGGGGAACTAGAGAGAACAGATAAATCAGCCCCCCACAAGATTGCCCCCACAACGTCCCACAACATATCCCTGCCGTGTATTGGGAACATCTCCTGATGATGACATCATCATTTTTGGTATTATCATCGGGAGATGTTCCCAATAAGAGGCGGGGATGTGTTGTGGGACATTGTGGGGGCTGATTTGATCTCCCTTTTGAGTGATTACTCTTTTGTCATTCTATTTCGACCCTATCTACTGGACTACATTATTTGTTGGGATTCGATTTTAGGAGATACAATTGCCAAATTTTCATTGTTAACACAATAATTCTTATGTGATTTCTCGTTTCCATTTCAAGCTATTATTGCTCAATATTGACATTTAGTCGGGAGCTATTCTTCCTTGTACCAACAAAATTGAAAATTTACGTGATGATCTGTTGGTAATATGTGGTTACAAGGTTATGATTTTCTGTTTATTTTATCCCTTTTTATTTTTTGGATAATTAAAGCTGTAGGATCTTACATTATTGGGTGACTCATACTTTTATTTTTCATGTAATTATCTAGACATAAAAGATGGACATAAAGAGGAAAAAACGTTTTGTGTGGTACTGAGAGAGACGAGATTACCTCTGATATCGTCGACGTCAAATTTCTCCCCAAGCTTGGATGGAAGATAAGGTGTAAGGGTTAGGGTTACACAGAGGTCGAGAGACTGAAAGCACATGAGCTGGAATGGAGAAAATTTTTCATTTTGAATGAATCCGCACGTGCTGAGAGGGAATGCGTGTGAAAGACACGCGACGAACTTTCATTGTGTGGGACGTTTTTGGGGCGCCAAGGCAGTGGGGCGCAGATTCGAACTCTTCGTGGAGAGCAGATGCCAATTGACGAATGTCAATTCCTTGAAGGGTATATTAGTAAAAGTACAAAATCGGTTATCTTTCGAGTTTCATCTCCTCAAAAGGCAAAAGCCCGCCTTACAGTTATAGTTACAATTTACAAATTATAATCTTTTTATTATTTTTCCAAGTAAAACGAAACGAATGTACGTCCACTTGTTATCCGTTAACTCTGTGACTGAGAGTAGGTGTGAAGGAGAGAGATGCAGCTCTTCTCATCCTCTTCCCCCAAATCTCAATTCCCTCTCTTTTCTCCCTCTCCCAACCACAATCCTTCCAAAATCCACTTCAGATTCCCAATCAGAACTCTCCACCCCTCTTCTCCTCTCAGGATCCCTCCCTGTTCTTCCAAGGATTCGTTTCCCTCTCTCGAAGAAAAGCTCCTCTTCGCCGAGTCATCAGACGAAGATGAAGACAATGAAGAGAACAAGGAGAAAGCAGCATCAGAACAAGAATATACCAGGTCTTCTAGTGAATCTCCTGATGGATTACTTGTGGTTCGTAGGCCTGTGATGGAGCTTTCTGCAGAAGAGACCGATGTTTCTTCAGCTGAGATCGGTGAGGGAGATGATTCAGAGGAAGGCTCGTCCTCATCAGCCATCGATGCAGGTCTCTCAGAGTTTGCGAAGAAGATGCCTATTTTCGAGCCAGAGAGAGTAGAATTGAGTTCTGAGCAAAAGCCGCTTGGGGTGAACCTGGAGCTGGCATTGTACAGAGCCAAGATTTTGGCGCGGAAATACCAGTTCGAAGAAGCAGAAAAAATCCTTCGTCAGGTGCATTTGGGATATGCAGATATTAATTTTCTTTTCTAATTTTGCATTTAGCTTATCCTGAATATTCTCCCGACAAGCATACAAATTGAATGATGGTGTTTACGTTCAAGGTTTCTAGTTGTTATGGATGAGGTTCTCTAATTTTATTTTCTTTTTCCTTTGTTTTTTTGGCTTGATAACTGATTTAGCTCGTCCAACTATCCAGTGTATTTTCTTTTGGCCAGAAGATGGACGACCGTATGTGGCCTTGGGAAAGATTTTAAGTAAGCAATCCAAATCCGCTGAAGCGAGAGAGGTGTACGAAAAAGGTTGTCAGGCAACACAAGGAGAAAACCCATATATCTGGCAGGTTAATGCAATACTTAAATTTTGTGATCTTTCTTTATAATTAATCCTGTTATTAATCAGTTCAACTTCAAAAAGCCTTATATCCCAAGTATCTGGGTTAGTCATATGAATCCCGTTTTGCAATTCCACTCTATCAAGGGCAAGGGCAATCAATCATTCCCATGATTGGGTGGGTG